AGACGTTTCACAAGTCCTGTAACGGCGTCTGCCACGACAGCAATATTCATGCTGTATTTACAATTTCTACGTCCTATATTTACTGAACTTAACAACCCTTTCTTCGTCGGAGCCTATGGTAATTTGGAGCGCCTTGGATCTAGTTGTGTGAATTGGAACGCGAGAAAGAGTAGCCATCCCGACAGATCCGCTTTCCATCTTTTCTGTGAACTCTAAGTTATAAACCAGTTCCGGCACCCCATCGGTTCCAACGGTGGTCAGCACGCGGTGGCATCAGCGGAAATGGGAATGCTGACGCCCTCGCTACTGATGCGCACCATCTTGAAACGCTCACCATAACTCTTTGGCGAGAAGAGGCGAGGCGATTTATACACGATTTATACCGGAAGCGCCACCTACATCAAGGGGTGGTTGAGGTGCGACGCCCTCCCGCTAGCTTCCAATGGATTAGTTGTGTCGCTATTTTACTCCCGAGCGAATAAAACCAGCGTTTTAATTTGCATGAACCCGAACAGGACAGCGACTACCTGCCCAAACGGTGGAGTGCGGTAGGACATCAGAATAGGGTGCGAGGAAGGACGCAAATCCTCGTTTCGTCGCTACACCTTAAATGAGCTTACATGCTGAATAACTTATGGGATCCTCATCCCAGACGCGCTACGTCGATTAGTTCAGTTTCTAAAGGTGCCTTAAAGCTGGTTCACATACTTGCGACCGCTTACGACCGTGTTCCTTAATTCCTCTTAAAGCCTCTTACGAAAAGAGAACAGACTGGCGCCATCTATCGGGCAGAGGTGGAACACTTAACAATTTCATGCATTTCTTTTTTTTTTTTTTTGCGTAGTCTTGATTGGAATTTTTTTTTTTTTTTTACAATGCGACTATTTCTCAGAAATAGTACGTACGTTTGATCTCGCAAATGCCGCAGAAACTTCGCTCAAGTGAAATGTAGTTACAGGGCCACCTCATAGATGGCGCCAGCATGCCACTGCGGTCTCTCGTCGTAAGAGATAAAAGCTCGGTGCTAAGCAAACGCAAGCGTGTGAAGGTGCCTTAATTTAGACTGGTTTCGACATACAGGCTCAACAGATTTCTTGAACAGCTACGTCATATTCCAAAAAGTAAAGAATTCCCCAGCTCTTTTTCTCCCCTCTTCTTTTTTAGCACAGTAACAAATAACTAGTCTAAATTAGGGATGACTCCTATATGTTTGTAAATAAACTATTCTTCCCTTTTGCTACCGAGGAAAGTATCATCTCGGAATACTTCCTACGTTATAGAGAAGACAAGGAACACTTAATGTCAGACGCTTCTGTCTATACGTCGTTTTAGTGTTTATTTTACGACCCTGGTATCCATCGTACCACCCTCACCGGTCTTACTGCTTCAGCACAGCTACAGTTGGCTCAAGTTACCCTGAGTTGATCTAGGCCAACAGTTAATTACGCGTTAATTCGTTTCCCCACCGGGACGTCGTTCACATTTTCACGGAAACCCCCCTAGCACTTTACTTCGTGTAGGAGGTGTGGGCGGAGCAACTTCAGAAGCTGAACAGAAAGGGAGGGTCTTGGACTTCGAATATTATACTGCAATACAGACTCCCGGTAAAAGGATGGATAGAGTCGTGGAAGAGAAAAAGCGAAGAAGTCTGTCTTGCTGCTAAATCGTCCCTACGCCTAAATACATAGGAAGAGGGAAATTCTAAAATGAAATCAAAAGCGAGAGAAATTGTAAATCTTCGAGTAGACTTTTCCCTGTCAGGTGTTTAGATTACGACGTCGGTGTGAGCTTGCCTCAGCCAGGAATTTATCTTCAATCCCCAGGGATATTTCGCCCAGATGAAGCTTGGCCAGTGAACACAAAGCGTTGCTGCGATCATTTTAGTTGACGTGCCCCCAGCGCAGGAACGCACAAGCCACCTCGGTGCCCAGACGATGGGAAAGAATATCCAAGCACGAACATTCGCACAAGGGGTCGACGATCAGAGGGGGGAAATCGTTACAATGATGCGGTGCTCTGCTGACACGAATTGAGCGAATCCACTGGCAACCAGGGTGACCGAGCCGTTCCTACACTTCGTTTCCCTTGAGGTAGACCCTAAGATGTTGATAGGACTAATCAAACAGCGTAAAAATCAAAAGTCCGTGGGTCTTTCCTAAACATGATTGGTTCAGCGATGATATAGGACACGTACGACACATGGCGAGCACCATGACGTTGCGCTTTTGACACTCTTTGATTGGTCCCATTGGCTGGTATCGTCGTCTGTGTTCTTACCTAAGGTGAAACGAAGTATAGTTTGGAATCTGCTGGGGTGCCTCGGCATACAGTTATCGCCTAGCAAAGATTTTTTTCGAGAACGTTCTGCTCTCATCGACCTGCGGGGCATGCGTAAGAGAGCATTATTTTCAAGTTTGTGTATGAACATACCATTTTTGGATGTACTACATATTTCGATTGTTCTTTCCGAATGCCATAGGGCCGCGCGGAGTGGGGGGAAAGGGGGGGGGGGAGGAGGAGGTTAAGCGGTACGCTAAAACTTACCGCCGCCCCTTCCCAATCCGGCGCGTAGAAACGGAGACTACGAAGCAGGGAAGGAAGAGCATTTTCGTAGAATACTATAATACTTCGTGTCACTAGATGCGTGCAGTGCAGCCGAAAGCAACGCCAGGCGAGGGGAGAAAAAGCAAGCACAAGGAAGGCTGGGGAGGAGGAGAGAAACCTCCTCTCCTCTCTAACATTCCTAGTGCTATTTCTCTCTCCCCTCTCCCCCTATCGCACTGCTCTCCTCTCTAACGTTCCTAGTGCTGCTAGTGCTCGCCTTTTCTCTTTTCGCCTGGCATTGCTTTCGCCTGCACTGCACACAACTAGTGACATGGAGTATAATCTAACAAACGCAGAGGCATTTCAAGGTCAGGGTGTATGCGCGGCGGTATTTTGGAGAAGATGATGCAAAGCACTCAAAGAGGTCTAAAACACGAAGGGGACAGAAGCTCAACTGCAAAAAGGAGTCCATGGCCCGGATGTGGCAGCCGATGCTTCGGTAAGAGACGGCTACCCCAGGGCGCTCGAACACAAATGTCAGCTGTACTTCGTTTTACCGTAAATCCAGACGCAACCGACGCTTCGTGCAGATGAGGCCAATCAAGCAGTGTCAAAAGTGCACCATTATGGTGTTCGTCATGTTTCTTTACGTGTTCTATCATCGCTGAACCATTATAAACAGAAAAGGTGGAGTGACTTGTGCTTTTGACGCTGCTTGATTGATCCCATTACCACCTGGGGCTTCCAAGAGAGAATGAAGGCTCAGCGTATATAGATGGGGACGGGAAAGGGGGGGGGGGGGGGGGGGGGAGAAAGAAGAGCGCCGGACTTTTTCAAAATTAAAAAAAAAAAAATTACTGTTGCCTGGAGGCAAGGTATGAGGTCAGAAAAAGATCGGTCACTCAGATTTTTCTTTTTTTTTTATGCTATGAAGATAGTCTTCCTTCCTTTATTTCTGGTCGGTGGACGAAGTTTTAACTTCAGTTCTTCGTGGTTCAATGTTTTAGCGCGATACGGTTTAGGAGGTCGTGTCGCAGAAAATCCGGAGTCGGCGTGGCTGGGACCAAAAAATGGGATAATGTAACGCGCGCAGTCACGTGTTTCCCACATGAGTTGCGCGCGTTCCATTAGGGGATTTCCCCGCTAAATTTGGCGACAAAATATTCCCGCCAAATGTAGCAAAACATTGCCTTGCCAAATTTAGCGGGTCGATGGCGTCATGACGTCCCAGCCACGTGTGACGTCACGTGATGCTACCGACTAGACCACGCACACGCTCGCACGGCTTGGCAAAAAGCACGCGTTTATACGAGAAAGCTTAACCAATGGAACCCCATAACGCTACCGCGTTCCACCTTTAAAGGCGAGGCTTAAGCGTCCCCCAAGTTTGTTTTCTTGTGCAGCACTGAGCGCACATGTTGCACATATGCGAAGTGCGGATGATACTCCCAGACGTATTATAATGAACGCTGGAGGTTCCATTGACGCTAGTGTTTCTGGAATTTCCGGTTTTCAATTGAAGCAACCAGTCAACTTTTGCAGTGCTCCTGTGCATTCCTTTGCGAGAACGGGCGCGCATTTTGTACCTTCGCCGGAGAACAACAAAAATTCGCATTGCTACTTGTTTTTTTTTGTTTTTTTTTTACCTACCTTCACCATTCAAAGGGAATTATAGTGAAAAGGAGGGGCAAGTAGCGAATGCTACGTAACTTCGTCAATATTATAAAAATAATATTGCTTTAGTTACAGTATTCTTTTGAACAGTGAGCGATGTTTACCCTCCCAGTATTCCGGGTCCAGTCCTATGTTCGACGGCAAAAGTGTCTCAAGGCTCGTTGACAGACTTGCAACCCAGTAGGACCAACTGAGACAATACAGATTTTTAAGCCTCTTGCGACGGCGCAAGACCAGATATGCTGCCGCGGAGCTGGTCCTAAGCTGTCGCAATGTGCTTAAAAACCGGTCTCGTCTCGGCCGGTCCTACTCGGTTGCAAGGATGTGTGAACGAGCCTTAAATACGAACGACGAATCTAAGCAAGAACAAGTCAAAAAGAGCATCCTCGTTCAAGGAGCGCCAACATCCCGATGACACTAGTATTGATCATCTGCAAGATTTATATGCCACTGCGATGAGCCCCATTTATGTACGCGATTGAAACGCGTAAAACAGTAAAACTGAGCGCACAATAAAAGGCGTTTTTCTTTTTATTATCCTGTTAAATTTATCGGGCGGTAAGAGTTTTCTGGCTTTTCCCAATTTTAAAAGTTTTTGAGCATAGAGATACGAGTTTTGAACGGTATAGCAAACTTACCTTCGAACGCATACATGAGCTACTGACTGTTTGCATGCACTAGTCGTAGATGTGCTGCAGGCGGCATGGGCAGAGCCGGAACCCAGCGTCTGCGCTACTCGCGCGGGCACGCCAAGGAAGAACACACGTCAGAGTGACACAGAGGAAGTTGTTCTTTTTTTTTATTAATATATCACAGTTGTAATGCTAGCAAGACGGGCCATGCTGTGACGTTTTTTTTTTTTTCTTTTACACTCGTAGAGAGGAATTCGCCCCTCGACGTCGCAAGCGCACGGTCTAACAAACAAAATTTTCAACATTTTACTACTTTCACACGTTCTGTCCCCACGTTTTGCATATTGAAGGCTGCCACATGCACGGAATTTAGGCAACTCACTGCTACAAGCCATTCATACACTGAAGCATCTCGAGGAAAGGGCCCGATTTAGCAGAGAGACAACTTATCTTTCAGTTTTCCCGATGCTTTTTAACCTACAGCGCAATTCGGAGGAACGTAGTTTCCGTACACTGGCATTCCTTTTTAAAAATCGCTATTTCAAGAAGTTCTTTTGTACTCTATGACTAACGCGCATTTGAAAAAGAAACGACAACAATACAATGGAAAGTCCCCGGCTGCTTCCTTCCTGTACAACCTAAGCAGCCTGCCACTGTACCAACGTCGAGGACCTCGCGAGCAAATGGGAATTCCTGAAACGGTTTTTGCCCCGTTCCTTCTTAGTTGCCACTATCACACAGGCCTGCGGTTACCATTTCCTCGTCTATTTCGCTGAGACTTTGTACAAAAGTATGCATCTTACTTCTCTGTTGCTTTCTTCTTCACCCCTAATCGCAGCGCTAACACACAGCGCCATCTCGGAACACAGTATATGTATAAGGGGCTGGCCACGCGACAAATAAAACATGTCGAAGTTATGTACAAACAGAGGCTTCCAGTGTGAGAGACGCCTTCGTAAAAAGAACGAAACTCTGTTCAACCTGCTCGCTGTCTGACCGCCATGGTACCGACAAGACGACAAGGCAATCCCGGCTTCCCGATTTTAAAACTGACTGGTGGAAGGCCGGGATACGGCAGAAATGAAACAAGCTGGAGGAAAACAGAGCGCTGACTCTCGATTAAGGCTAGGAACATAAATACGTCTCCGCGCCACACACAGGGGGGAGGGGGACAAATAAATAGGGGGGCCGAAGGCAGGGCCCCCGCGGGAGGGCAGCGTTCGACGGGGTCGCCGAACACCTTGGAAGGCGGCACGAGCATCGCAACGAAACAGCAAGGAGATGCGAAATCTGAGTCACACAACCATTCTAGTGTAATCTAAAATTCGCGAGAAAAAAAAAAAAGGCTTTTGTGGGTTTACGTGGCCGACTTTAAATACTTCTATATACAGATTCATTTTGTCTTGTTTACAGGAACTACTAGATATACCGCAGATATCTTCTTCGTTTGTCCAAGAAAGTTCACGACGGTCACAGCTGACACGAGCACTCCGTTGGTGTGCTTGCTGCTGGGAAGTCCAGAGGTGTCTCGAAGAACACGCACTATATTTTGGCAACGGAATAAAGTTCTTATTTGTTTACGCGCACCAGGCGCAGCGTTCACTTTGGTCAGTGGGTGCACGAACGCACCTTTGGTCCGGGCCCTCTTGAGAGACGACAAAGAAAACGCTACGCTACGTCTCGGCGACACGCGAGCAAAATCATGGTCCACGAGGGGCTACCGCGTTTCGCTAAGGCTCCGACCGCTCTACCTCGGTACAAAACGTGTAAAAAGGAAAGGCACTACAGGCTCTCAAGGCGTCCTACCTCCTAACTGCGCGGTCGTGGCGCGCTCTTGCGCCCTCTGTGGTTGTGCCGGCGCGGAGTCCGCGTCGCTCAGCCGGAGCCGCGTCGCGTCAGCGGGGGGACCGGGACCAAAGGTGGGTGCACGTGTTTTGTCCGCCGCACCGTCGCGTCCACACAAGCGTAGAGTGTCAGACCAGCTTGATCGCGTTGTTGGGGCAGCGCGTGGAGGACATGAGGTGCGGCGGACACACGGTGACCTCGGACGCCTGGTTCACGACCACCTGCTTGCGGCCTGCACGGGCGGCGTCCGGCAGCGCGTAGCGCAGCTTCTCCCAGAACCTCTTGTCCCCCCAGCGCAGGAGCACCGCCGAGCGGAGGCACTGGCGCGCGTCGGCGTCCATCTCTTTCACGGCTACGTCGTCGAGGAGCACCACGACGAGCCGGTGCCTGCTGTTGCAGCGCAGCTCGTGGTGCGCCGTCTTGAGTTCGAAGCGACACCACTCACTCTTGAGGAACTGCTCCGAGAGCACAACCAGTGTCCGGTGGCTGCACTCGACGGCCTCGGTGATGGCCTCGGCCACGTAGCCCGACATGGGCAGATCGCGGTAGCGAAGGCACAGCCGGAACGGCGGGTGGCTGCCGCACTCCAGCTCGGGCGCCAGGATTTGCGCCACGAAGGCCTCGTCCTTCTTACAGTAGGACACGAAGGCGTCGAAGAGTCTGTCCACTTCGGGCGCGTACTGGCTGCGCCGGAACAAACGCACGCCGTACTTGCTGTGCACCCACACTTTCATCTGCTTCCGGTACACGAGCACTAGCACGAGCACGAAAAGCAGGAGCACGACCACGGAAGGCAAGACGATGAGGAGCGGCATGTAGTTGTCCGAGAACACGGCCTGGAAGTAGGTGACGGCCGTGAAGTTGGTGCACGCCGTGGCGTTGAATTCGAGCAAAAAGGGCCCCATGGTCTGGTTCTGGCGGCAGCGGATGGCCACGGAGTCCTTGAGGGGCGCCCCGAACATGTGCACCCAGTCCTGGAAGTTCTCCATGAAACGACAGCCGCAGGACCACGGGTTGTGGCCCAGCCGAAGGTCACTGAGGGAAGGGTTGTAGTTGAAGTTCCACACCTGGAACTCGACGATGTAGTTGTTGTCCAGGTAGAGAATCGTGAGGGACTTGAGCGACACGAACGTCCTGTTGCTCACCGTGGCGAGCCGATTGTGGGATAGGTGCAGCTCGCGTAGGTTCGTGAGGTTCTCGAACTCAAAGCCATGAAGCGCAGTCACCTTGTTGTGATCGAGGTGAAGAACCTGAAGGCCGACCAACCCGTTGAAGGTGCGGTTGTGGATCGTTTGGACGTTGCTGTTGTTCAGGTAGAGGACCTTGAGGTTCTTGCGTCCGATGAAGCTGTGACTCGACAGATGGGACATGTCGTTGCCGTCGAGGTACAGCTCCGTGACATCCATGGGAACACGAGGCGGGATGGCGCCGTACGACGTGAAGCTGCAGTCCACAATGTTGGTGTTCCACGTCTGATCCGAGTAACACGTGCAGTTTTCGGGGCAGACCATTTCGCAATCGCAAGCGTCGAACTCGCAGCAGTGGCATAGGGCGAAGCAGTGGCTTTTGTATTTGCATAGGAAGTCTGAGGAATTGGCGTCCGAAAGGAGCATCCGTGGCTTCCTGCGGCCGAACGGCATCTGACACATTACTTCGTTGAGATCCACAACCCGCGGATATTGGCGAATCTCGTCCAAATTGTTGATCCGCTGGAGCCACTCCATGGTGCAGTCGCAGAAGTAGAGGTTGTCAGCAATCCAGAAGTCCGGAAGGATCACTTTCGACGAAATGGGCTTGAGGCGGAAAGCGTTTATGTCTACGTTCTGTAAGCGATTATGGGTCAGGTTGACTTTGGTCAGGTTGTGCTTGGCCATGAACGTGAACGGGTGAATAATGCTGATTCGATTCATGCTAAGAGAAATCACTTCCACCTGGTTTGGAAATGAAGCCGCATTGATTTCCTTGATGTTGTTGTACGACGCATCGAGGATCTTAAGGTGCATTTTGTCTTCGAGTTCGTAGTAGTTACCCAAAGTCTCAATTTCGTTGTCATGGATATCAAGATGCTTCAGTTGACGCGGTACCAGGGCGTAATCGAACCATGTGATCCCATTGCGCGACACGTTTAGCAGCCTCAGGTGCGCCAAGTTCATAAAGAGTCCATTGATGTCCTTCAAAAGATTGTCGTTCAAAAGGATCACATTCAAAGCGGCAGCATCATCGAAAATCCCGTGCTCCAAAGCTGTGATTTTGTTGTTGGACAGATCGAGCCTCCTCAGCGACTTCAGTTCCTGGAACGTTCCTCTTGTCATATTGCCGATCTGGTTACCCGAGAGCCTGAGGATGTGAAGATTCGTCATTCCCGACAAGGTAGTGTTCGTTATATTTGTTATAACGTTTTCGGAAAGATCCAGCGTTATGAGAAACCTCAAGAACTGAAGAGCATTTGGAACGTCTGCTAGTCTGTTTCCTGAAAGTTGCAAGTCTTGAAGGCTACTGCAATTCTTGAAGCCTTCTAGATGAATCGTCTGCAGGTGGTTCCGATCTAGGGCAAGGTTGCTGAGCACGTAGAGTCCGTTCAGAGTGAAGATGTCCAGGTGCCGCAGTCTGTTGTCGCTCAGAATCAGAGTATGGAGATTGTAAAGCGAAGAAAAGGCATTGTCGTCAATGGCTTCAATCTGGTTGTGGTCAAGGTTTAAGATCTGCAAGCTGTACTGAGATTGGAATGTCGTGGCGTTAATGTGCCTCAGCAGATTATGGCTCAGGTTTAGGATGACCAGGCGAATAAGATCGGCGAACGTATCGTGCGTTATCCACTCGCTGGAAATCTGGTTGTGGCTCAAGTTCAGGATGACCAGCTGCTGCAAGTCGGTGAACGTGTGAGGTGACAGAAGTCCCAACGAGTTATTCTGCAGATACAGTTCGCGTAGGTCGACGGAGCCGTGCAGCAGCTTGGGTGGGATGGTGTTCAACTGATTGTGCGACATGTCGACTACTTGCAGGCGACCGAGGGCACCGAAGGCGGTTTCGACGAGCTGCGTCAGCTGATTGCGTTGGAGGTAAAGCAGGCGCAGGTTTCGGAGTGCCATGAATGCCCGGTCGTCGATGTACCTCAGCTTGTTGTGGGACAGGTCCAGCTCCACGAGTTCATCCAGACACTTGGGCTTGTCTTCGGAATACTCGTTGAAGCCCATGTTGGTCATGTCCTCGAAGCTGTTGTGAGTGAGGTTGAGAGACTTGAGGTTCCCCAGCTCACAGAAGGGCGACCGGGGCACAGAAATCATGTTGTTGTGACCCAAGTCTAACCGCTCCAGGAGCTTCAGTGGAGAGAGCGATCGCCGGCCCAGGGCCAGCGACAGCGCACCCCAGTCGCCGTTGTAAGTCCGGATGGTGAGGTTCCTTAGTTCGACTAGTCCCGCCAGCGCGGAGTCCGGCACCTCCGCCAGTTTACACTGCTCCATGTGTAGCGTGCGGAGGAACCTCAGCGTGGAAAAGGTCCCGTTGCCGAGTCGGCTCTCGGTGAACAGCGAACCGCACAACACTGTCAGGCTGGTCGTGTGGTCCGGCTGGATGAGGCTGAAGTTGGTCCCGTCGGGACCCGCGCGGATCGCCTGGAAGCGGCACTTGAGGGCGATCTCGGTGCTCGACGACTGCTGCGTCGTGCGCCAGTCGCAGTCCTCGGCCAGCACGTAGTGGGCGGCCGCGCACAGTCCTGGTAAGGACGTCGCCACCAGCAGCACCACCGCCAGCGTCACTCCGGAGTGACGCTTGGCGCGGCACGGAGTCCTCACGCACGGCCGTAACACCATAGTGGGCGTTCCGAAGCACATCGATGAGGAAACTTCACGCACGCTGCGATGGGGCTAGAACTTCACCAACACTTCTCATTGTCGAAACCAAAGAAAAAAAAGAAACCGACAGGCCGCGTCCTCGGCGGAGCACGAACGACACTTCACTTTCACGAAGAAGAAACGCAGAAAGCGGAGCGACGTCCCAATCCCGGGAGTGAGGGCGGGGGGTCTTCTTTTGAGAATCGACCGGGCACCACCGGGTCCTGGGGAAGGGCTCAGTTCCCCTCGAGTGATCTCGTGCGACGTTGTCCTCTGGGGAGGCTCCTCCGAGTTTCTGGGGAAGAGGGGCACAGCGGGCCGGAAGGATGGCCCAGCTTAGGCGCACTCGGGGACGGGAGGGAAGGATGGCCGGGGCGCCTGATAAGCCGGGCGTGTCTCCGTGCCTCGAAGAGCGTCTTCCGGCTCCTTCACCTGAACCGACTGCAGCCACGTCGGCTCCGGCCGCTGGAACGAGGCCCCTGCGTCGTCCTGCAGGGAAAAGACCACACCGTGAGCAAGAGTCGCTGACCTCCTGCAGTGATCGCGACACGGGGACGGCAATCGGTGCGGCATTCATTCGCGGAAGTGCAGCCACAAATCTGTTTTCGGGAAACTGGGACGCGTATGGTAAAGAGCAAGCAAAAAGAGAGGCGAGCGGGTCCGCACTGAACATCACGAGCAAAACTCTCACTCGTACGTGCACGAGATTTGGAGACATTAGGGTCACTTATTTCCTGTACCAGACTGGACACGTAGCACTTTGGTCTTAACCGTACTGCCCTCTTTTTTTGTTTGCGTTTTGTAATGCATAGGTATTTACTACTTTTCATATATTAAAAAGGTTAATGTCAAAAGGACGAACCACATGGAGAAAAACTAGCTAAAAGGCCTGGTTCGATTCTTACCCAAAGTTAAATTATTATTTTTTTCACTTTTACTTTTTATTTTATACGGTCTATTTAACTGGATAAAGGAAGAGATAACATTATTGTGCATTCGCAATCTTCTGTCTCTGTCGCCATCTTTAAGAAAGAAAGAATAAAGCTACTCTCGGTCATCACGCAGCATTAGCGACATCAAATTGCACTTGCTGCTTAGTACGTATAGCTTGATCACAGATAGGGTGATCAAGCTGCAAGAACACTCCTTCAGCATGCGACGCTCGAGTGCCGCCAAACAAGTATCAGCAGCGCAAACAAAAATTCGTTTAGCTTCGACAATATATTCATGCACGAATCCGTACAGTTTCACTCGTTGATATTTCTCGCGAATTCCCCTCATGTGGTCGGTGTCCTATGAAGCCCAATACAAAAACGCGTTATCTTGGTTTGCGAGGAGCGTATCTGCGTGAAACGGACGTGGATACGACGCCCCGTGTTTTGACAACAAGGACTCCACCGTTGACCCCGTGAGTATCGGCCAACGGCCCCCTGCCTGTCCGCCCCGGGATGCTTCTGGCGCGGAAGAGACGCACGGAAACAACTTGCCAAGATAATTGAATTGGATCTCATTCTGTTATAGTAACAAGTCTACAATACATAACGCGAAAAAAAAATGAAAACATTGTTTCAAAAAAAGAAAAAGTTACAGTTCGTTTCAGCTAGAGAGCAACAGGAGACGGAGCCTTTTCCTCTTTCCACGTTAACAAAGCGAATGCTGGAGAGGAGGAAATCGGACTCCGGCGTTTGCTGTGCTAATGTGGAGAAGGGCTCCGTCTCCTGCTCTTCGCGAGTTGTAACGTCCCCCGTTTTCTTGTATCTTCCAGAAATGACACTAGAACAATGTGTAACTTATTTGCATACCTGGCTGACGATAACAAGAATAGCCAAAAACCAATTTTGTCCGAAATATTTAAACCGGTCACTTTTTTTTTTCTTTTTTCGCCAAAAGGGTGCTTTTAAAGAGAACCTTGTCCAGGGAAACAAAGGTGTTTGCATCCTTCTTTTCTTCCTCACTCGTCGAGGTTTTCTAAAACAATCCCTTGCCTTCGGCGTGACACTGTGGAGTGACTGTTGAAGAACGTTTTGCGGCAGCAAAAGGTGGCGAGTCAGCAACACACTCCCCGCGTACGATTTGTGCCCGCGTGCTCCACCATTAGGAGCCGTACCAGATCGTACTCACTAGGCAGGTATTATTGCCTTTTGAATCCGTAAACACTCCTGAAAGCGCAACTTGGGCACAACCAGACTTGTACCTGACACTTTACTTGTACCTTGCTACTTCCTTCAATAACGAAGTAACCTAGTTACTTCTTAAGAGGAGGACCGAGTAAAGGCCCGTTTACACACTTGCTACTCCTTAGGACCCAGTACTTTAAATCCTCTCAAAATTTAACAGGACCAAAGAATACACTGGCACAGTAGAGTTATGTATGCGGTGACCTTGGGACTGTATTTCACTAGAGCGGAGGTTTTGCGGTAATTGCGAGGTCAAAAGTACGTACTATCTCCGAGAAACGGTCGTTTCTAACACCGAAAAACGTTTTTTCGAGCCAAGAAAGAAATGATGACGCGCGAAAGAAAAAGGAAATATACGGGGTCGCCAAGGGTTCCACCCGCTGGGTGGCGCCGGTGTGTCCTTTCATCGCAAGAGACAAGGTTTCAAGGTGTAAGGTAACAAGAAGTTTCAAGTGTGTGAACGGGCCTTAATGTATTTCCGCTACTTTTTGATGAAGTAACGACTAACGGTACCTAGCTAGTTCTGGAGGGGAACGTGTACAATACAAGCACCCAAACGAGTTTTCACCCCAGCTTGCGCCTCTAATGTACGTGACAAGAAAACGCTAGAAAGACCACAAAAAGATGCGCACAAGATACATGTCGAGTATAGCCACGGTCATCCCTGAAGAAACGCGTTAAAAAGCGAGGAATTATTAAAGGAGCGATGCAACAATTTTTGTACTGTGCACAAATACCGCTTAAAACGAATCCCTAACGTTAATGACCTATGAAACACGCGTTCGTTTTTCACCCCACGCAATAGAAGTCCCAGAAAAAAATGTAAGAAAAACGAGCAGCGTTCACCCCCTCAACTCGCAGCCAGAACAAGCGGCCACGTGATCTGGAGCCGATTATATGCCGCCAATATTGATCATAGCCACGCGCTGGGGTTGGCAAAGCGCAGGACACGCGCTGAGTTCCAGACGTTGTTATGGTTCGGCTGTTGTCGTCGTTACAGCGATTGGACACGGGTCACAACCGGAATGCTTCTCGAGCTAGCAATTGTCACGAGCCCAAGTCGAGTGCCCACGCAATGCTCGGGTCCAATCTATGAACCGCATTCAAATATCGTCACTTGGGTGTACTGCGATCCCCGAGTTACGTCATCAAATTTTGCAAAGGAGAGATTGAATGAAAATGATCGCTTTTGTCCTTGAAATTACGCCACAACAGAGGAGTTTCTTGGCCAATGGCGTTGCGTGTGAGTATCCTTGAGTCCCAGGTGTGCCAGTAAGCTCGTGTAGAGAGAAAAACATTCCAGTTGAATATCGTTGCACAGCTCCTTAAGGACGATAAATATTGGAAGCGACACATTCGCAGTAGCGAGAAAAGAACACGTTACTTTCAAGCTTAGGTAACGCATTCTTAATTCCATAACGAGTAACGTACTTAGTTACTTTTTGAGTGAGTAACGAGTAACGATATTTAGTTACTTTATTTCAGTCACGTGAACATATCTGGACACAACCGTATCAGCAGCTATGGAAGGATACCGTCGTAATCCAAATTCCCTTCGGTGCCCTTGAGACATTTGTGTGTGACCGTGGGACCTGGTGCTTTGCGGGAACAGCAACCGCTCCCCTAACCTCAACTAGAACGGCGCTCGATTTCAGTCCGTCATCGCGTCCATCCAGCGCCGCGTGCAGTCCCATGTAGGGCGGCCGAGCGGACTTTCCCAGAATTGTTCCCAAAGCTAGAGCCATATAGTCGTACGCATACAGAGCGCGGGGATTCTTTCGCTCGCCGCAACGTCGTGGGCTCTCTCTCGCTCTCCGCTCCGAGACGGCATGACCTCGCGGCCGCCCGTATCGCGTTCCAGGTTAATTGTGCGTGCTCGAAAATGGCATTGTTGTCCTCACGTATCTCTCGACTCGCAAGCCTGTCGCCTCGGGCCGGGGTAAGACCGCGGTGAAATTACGTTTCTTTCCGCACTTCCGGTGCGGTGTCCTCTTTCACGTGCGCATTCCCGAAACGGCCGCAACCATTCCGTTTCGTGACTCTAGATGTTTTCCCTTCCTTTCTCTTTATGTTTCTCCCTCGGTGCCGCTTTGTTTCCGAGAGGAGCCTGCCTGTCTTTGCGAGCAGAAAACGGGGTGATGCCTCGCAGTCACGCCAGCCGAGTCACCGCGCCCAATCCAAGCGCCCCCCCCCCCCCCCCCCCCGTGGTGGGCGGGGAAGAACCCCCCCCCCCCCCCCCCCCCCGTACGCTCGCGTCGGCCTAATGGTTTGTTTATCGAAGGTCCGCCGCGCACGTGACACAATCTGCCGTGTCTGGGCACGCTCCCGCACCAGCCACCCGAGTGGTTACAGTGACGACGCTCAAATCCAGCAACGCCCGAAAGAAGTGAGACTCGCTTCCAACCGTTTATCGAGCGGGAAGCCCGGCACAACAAACCGTCGGTGCAAAAGGGCGTAGCGCAGAAACTAAAGTAAAGGAAGGAAACGAGAGTTCGAGAGAAGAAATGCAATAAAACGCTGCCCGTTCAGGAGGGTGCGAGTGTTGGGTATACCGACGCGCGTAGAAAGGAAGCATCCGAGCGCGAAGGTATAAACGTATGCTCCGTTTCAGCTTCCGTGGGGCAACTCCGCTCAATTTCGAAAATTTTAGAGGAACGGTTCATCGAAACTTGACGGGTATAAATATTGGCTACCTCCTCAGCCATTTGTTCCTGAACGATCGAGAGAGCTTCTCTTTGCCTCACCTGCCGAGACAGGGCATTGAAGAACGATAAATTCAGCCTCCCCTTGGTTGGAGCCCACAATCAGCATATTCTACTATAGTATTAAATATTCATAACAAAAAAAAAAATACTGGCCATTTTTCGTTTAAAGATACAGTGACCTACTGTGTACCACGAGAATCAGTGAATCGCTCGTAGCATGCTCCTCACCGGCGAATCATGCCCGGGAGCGAGCTTATTTCCGCCGACTGATTAATTAAACGACGATAGTATATTTAGGGCGTCACCATGGCAGCCGACACAACACGGACACCCGCTATACACTGTGGGGCAGAGGCAACGTACGCAAAAGAAATTTTCGAGAGCGACTGAACAACGGTGCGGGAGGGAAGCAATTAGAGCCTTATACGCCCACAGCACAAACCCTCTTGTCCATTTCTTTGCTTTGAGATTGTGTGACGCGGTTACGACGGTCATGTTACTTTAACATTATTTAGCAGTTTTTGGGAGGGGGAAGGGGAAGGAGGTTATCCCGAGAGCAATGTTGTAAGCGTTACAGAAAAATAACGAAGTTCCTCGCTACTTGCAA